CACCACCAACAACAAATGTTGGTGAGGATGTGAGGAAAAAGGAACCCTCATACAGTGTTGGTGGAATGTAAGCTAGTACAACCACTTTGGAAAACAATATGGAGGCTTCTTAAAAAACTAAACATAGATCTGCTGTATGAGCCAGCAATACCACTCCTAGGGATATACCCAAAGGAATGCAACTCAGGTTGTTACAAAGGCACCTGCACACCCATGTTTATTACAGCACTATTCACAATAGCTAAGCTATGGAAACAGCTAAGATGTCCCATTCCTGACGAATGGATTAAGAAAATGTGGGATTTATTTTTTTTATTTTTTTTTTCATTTTTCTTTTATTATTCATATGTGCATACAGGCGTGTTCCATTTTCCACCCCTGCCCCACCCCTCCCTTACCACCCCCACCCTCCCGTCCCCCCTCAATACCAGCAGAGAAATGTGGATTTATACACAGTGGAATTACTCAGCCACAAAGAAGAATGAAATTTTGTCATTCGCAAGTAAATGGATGGAACTGGAGAACGTCACCTTAAGTGAAGTTAGTCAGGCTCAGAAGGACAAAAATCGTATGTTCTCCCTCATATGTGGATTATAGACCCAAAACAAATGCAGTAATATTATTGGACATAGGTCACACACTAAGGGCAGAATGCACACAGAAGAAATAGAGAAATGAAGGAAACCTAAAACTTGAAAATGGTTGATGTGCTCACTGTAAAGGAGTGAATACAGTAATCTTAAATTGGCAGAGGCCACTGTGAGAAGGGGACCAGGAAGTAGTGAAGAGGTCTGGTACAGAGGAACCAATTTGGGTTGTAATACACTTGTGCATGGTAACAATGCTAGGAATCTTTCTTTATAGCTATCTGTATCTCAAACTAGCAAAGACACTATGTCTTTCTTATTATCTCTTATGTCTTCTCTTCAACAAAACTGGAGAACAAGAGGGCAGAACAGGTTCTGTCTGGAAGCTGGGGGTGGGGTGGGGTGTGGTAGGGAAACAATGTATACACATGTGAGTAAATTTAAAAATGATAAAATTTAAAAAAAAGTCTGTAAATATGTACCTCATTAAAAGGGAGAGTTCCAATGGTAATAAAAATTAACTGAAAATATTTTGAAGGAAATGAAAATGAAAAAGAACCTATGAAATTCTATGGTATAAAACAAAATTTGAGGGACTTGAGGGAAATGTATATCACTGAATATGTATACTAGATAAAGGAAGATCTAGTATACAACCTTAAACTAGAAAAAGAAAAGTGCTTAAATCAAAGCAAGTAAAGAAATACTAAACATAAGAGAAGTCAATGAAATTGGCCTTTAAGAAAGAGTAATTAACAATTTAACCTCTAGCCTGGCTAACCAAGGTGAGAGAGAGAGAGAAAGAGAGAGAGACAGACAGAGACAGACACACACACACACACACACACACACACACACACACACAGAGAGAGAGAGAGATGTAACAACCAACACTTCCTTAAGCCCATGAACTCATCCCCATTCTTCTCTCTTCTTGTCTTCTTGTCTCCACTCAACATTTTTTCTTGGTAGGAGAAGAAGAAGAAGAAGAAGAAAGAGGGAGGAGGGGGAGAGGAAGGGGAAGGAAGGAAAGGAAGAAAGATGAAGAGAAGGAGGGAGGAAGAGAGAGAATGTGAAAATTTCTTATATATAAAAAAGGTCATCAATAAAGATTCCATAGATTTTAAAAGGATAATAAAAGAAGATTATAAACCAGGCATAGTGGCACATGTCTGAGGTCCAAGCCCTATGGAAACTGAGGCAAGATGACCATGAGTTTGGGACCAGCCTGAGCTACCTGGTCAGAATGTATCTTGAAATCCAAAAATGAAACAAAAGAATATTTTGAAAAATTTTATGACTGCAAGTGAGACAAACTAGATAAAGTAGACCAATTCCTTGAAAGACACAATCTAACAAAACTCATTCAAGACGAAACATGATTTGAATAGACCCATGCCTAAGAAAGAAATTGAGTCAAGAATTAGTAACTTTCCCAAACAGAAAGCACTAGACTGATATGAGTTCACTGTTAAATTATATCAAACGCTTAATAAAGAAATTATTTGAATTCTCAATCATCTTTTCCAGAAAACAGAAGCGAGGGTATATTTCCTAATTCACTCAGAGGCCAGCATTACCCTAATATTAAATCAGCCAAGGACATTGCAGGAATAAAAATGACAGACAAGTATCTCTCACAAATATAGATGCAAAGATCCTCAGCAAAATATTAGCAAACTGAATCCAAGAATCTATAAAAGGAATTATATGTTAAAAAGAATTATACATCATGATCAAGTGGGATTTATCTCTAATATTCAAGGCTGGTTCAACATTTGAAAATTAAATAAATGCAATCTATTATGTCCATAGGCTAAACAAGGAAAATCATGATCATATTAATAGATGTAGAAAAGCATTTGACAAAATCCAATAGTCATTCATGATAAAAACTCTTAGCAAATTAGGAATAGAAGGGAATTTTTCTCAAATTGATAGAGGACATCTAAAGAAATCTACAACTAATCTCGTACTTAATATTGAGAAACTAGATGCTTTCTCCCTAATGCTCTGGAAACTAAGAAGTGATTGTAGCGAAGTTACAAGATATAAAATAACAGACAAGAGTCTACTGCTTTCCTAGATACCATTTACACTAGCAATCAAAGAGAGGGGAGTAGATACAAACCTAAAAATGTACAAGATCTGTATGAGAAAAAGAATACAATTCTAATGAAAGAAATCAAAGATCCAAATACATGGCCATGTCCCTGGATAGCAAGATTCAGTACTATTGGGATGTCAGTTTGTCCTAACTTGCTCTATAGATTCAACTTAATTCTAGTTGGAATCAGACAAATTTATGTTGTGAATATTAACAAGCTGATTCTAAGGTTTAGATAGACAAAAGGCTTCAATAATCAGTACAATTTTGGAGAATAGAGTAACAGCACTGACATTTTCTGACTTTAATACTTACTATTAAGCTATTAGTAATCAAGACAATGTGACATTGGTGAAAGAATAAATGCACATAAATGCATATAAATACAGTTAACTGATCTTTGACCAAGAAACAAATGCAAGAGTGGAGAAAATAGGATATTTCCCACAAATGATGCTGGGCCCACTGGACAGTCACAGGAATTATTTCACAAGAAATAATTCAAAATAGATCAGAGACCTAAATACAAAATGGAAAACTGAAACATCTGAAGAGTAACAGAAGAAAGTCTAGATGATCTTGGGTTTTGCAATGAGTTTTTAGATACAACATCAAAGGTATGATTCATGAAAAAAATTGACGAGCAGGACTTCATGAAAATTAAAAACTTCTCTGCAAAAAACACTATATAAAACAGTATATATATATGTATATAAAAATTTATGAGACAAAGGACTTGTATGCAAAATATATATTGAATGTTTAAAACTCGGCAGTAAGAAAATAACCTGATTTAAAGGTAGGCAAAAGTCCTGAACAGACACCTTTCCAAAGAAAATAAACAGATCGTAAGTTAGCATATGAAAAGATATTCCACACCATGTGTCATTCAGAAATTGCAAATTAAAACAAAACACCACTGCATATCTATTAGAACAGCCCAAATCCAAAATACTGACACCACCAAATGCTGACTGGGATGTGTGAGCAACAGGAAGAGTGCTGATGAGAATGCAAAATGGTAGTCACTTCGGACTGTAGAGTAGCAGTTTCTTCCAAAGCTAAACACAGTTTTGCCATATAATCCACACTTCTAGGTACTTACCTAAATGAGCAGAAAAGTTATGTGTACCTGAAAACCTGTACCTAAATGATTACAGCAGCTTTATTCATAATTTTCCCAAACTGGAAGTAACCAAGATGACCTTCAATTAGGGGCAGACAGAGTCTGGCATTGCTAGTAAAAGTATTCATAAATTTTTTGATCCAATAAGTAAATTAAACTCTTGCTCATAGGCCAGATAATACCTTGGAATGTTTCTCAAAGTAGATAAATTCTCACCTATCTCCAGATGATGTGACTGTTTTGTTATTAAGATTGTCAATGCATGGCTAACAGACTCATTTTAAACAGGGCTAAAGAGGATCAAATCACATTAGATCATCAAATACTGTTTGAAAAAGGGGGCAAGAGAGAAGACTACGAAATATAATCGAGGGGTGAACTAGTTCAAAGGACACTGCACATATCTATGGAATTTTCACAAAGAACCCTCCTTATGTTAGTCATGTATCCTGAGAAAATTAAAAATACGAAGCTAAGAGAAAGATAAAAATGAATGCAAATTCATTTTTAAAGTAGACTAAAAATTTAGACTAATCTTTCATATTCGTTAGGCATTTTTAATGTCGTTTAAATGTCTATGAAAAGTAGAATATAACTGTTAATATTTAATTATATACATATTAAAATAAATTTTGAATTTAAGATTCATGAGGAAGCACATGCTTATAAGTAATCATGACTTGAAAGATACCCATTCTTTAAATGGCTATAGAAATGTACTATAAAAAATAATTTGGTCCTCTCATATTAGCCTTGAAATAACCTTGCTGGTTCTGCTTATGTGCTCATGTAAAAACAATTCTATGAACAGTGTGAAAACGGACAGCATGAGGACGACAGGAAGACCACATATACTTACAGATGTGCCTTACTACATATTATCATAAAATGCAAAGCCAGAAACCTGGTTATATATGAGGTCAGATAATGGATAGTTTAACTTTCCTTCATTATAAAATATTGATTTTGGATCTAAAAGAATACTAGAATTAAAAGAAACACTTAAAATTATTTCAATAAAAGATGACTTTATTTTAACTAGTTATTTCTATTTCAAAACAAAAACTATTAGGCTATATTTAACGAGTCATTTCATCTAATTCTTCAGTTTAAATGAGTTTATGTACTCGGCTACCAAAACCTCTTTTTTGTTAAGAAAAACAAGCCTGTAATTTTGTATATGACTACTAAGAAAGGCAAGTTAATGCCAAAAATGTTAAGCTGAATCCATAGTCTTACTGCAAGTATAAAAAGCAAAACAAAACCCAGGCTGAGTCTTTGAAATCTTATTCCATTTTTCCCCAGTGTGGAAACTCAGTGAACTTTCCACTTCTGTCTTGGAACGTAAGCAAGACTGATTCATACATATTCATTTTAGTGAGAAGCAGTCAATATGAGAAATCTCAAAAATAATATTTTCTTCCCAGATCAATTCTACTATGTAGCTATTCAATAATTAAATTGAAATAAGTACCTAAATTACTAAGATAAACTATTCATTCCTAGGATACCATTATGTACACATTTTGAAAATTATAATTTTGTATTTTTCCCATGTGTCATGGCTTTGTATCCAGCCAGTCCTATTCTTTCACATGGGATTCCTTATATATAAAATTCACCAAGGACAAGTCTCATGATATGACCTGATGGCAAAGTTCTACTCATCCTAATTTGGGAAGCAGGATTCACTAGTTTATTTGTACTGTACTCTTCACAACTCAAATGTCATGAATTAAGCAAAATTATTCTGCTGTTTCCTTTTCTCATCCTATTCCACAGGCCCTAATTCTGATCCACACAGTTATCCTCATTTCAAAACTCCTTTTAGCCTTCAAGAAAGTTTGCATGGCTCAGATGATCTATATGAAAACACAAGATCACCCTTAAATTAGGACAAGCCATAATCTTTCCTCAAAATGCCTGTATGTCATTTCTGGAAGTGTAACATCCTGCAAAAGTTCTACAATAAATTACATACAATTACATAATAAATTTTATCTTCAGCATGATTTTGTAGATGTGAAATCTAATTGAAAGACAAAAAAAGACACAAATGTTCTTGGTTTCATGAACACTATGTTTACATGTGTGAACTGAATGAATAATATAATAGCCAGTTACTTCTTTCAAACTGAAGAGAAATGAAACATAATGATCAAAGATAGCACTATTTAAGGCTGAAGATGTGCAGTAGAAATAGTGAGCATAGTTAGTCAGAGGAAAAGTTTAAGAATGATGTAACTGCTTACTTTAGCCTAAAACAATGTCTGCAAGATTTTTTTTTTATTTGTTTGTTTGTTTTTGAGGTGCTGGGTATTGAACCCAGGCCCTTAAGCATGCTAGGCAAGTGCTCTACCACTGAGTTACATAACAAGCCCCTATTTTTAAAAAGAGAGAAAAGATAGAATACAAAAAATTGAGGGGGGGAATCTGTTAATATTTATAAAATAATCTTAGAGTCAAAATTTAAATTAGCATTTGTTACTTAAACTACTGCTTTCATGATTTAGGATGCATAGCTAGAATTGCCATACTAAGCTAATGTCACGGAGGAATATCTTTCCATGTGAGACCATTTCAACCTGACTTGTAGCAATAGAGTAGGGAATAGGCAAGAGGAAGAAACTCTGACTTTTTTAGAATACTAGTCTGTCTCATAACCCATGAAATAAATGACTACAAAGTTAGGGTAAGAAGGTGAGACGTATGAGAGTAAATATAAAAAATGTAAATGAAGGTTAATTCAGGAAATTAAGCTCACAACACTTTTTTTCCAGAAAGACCAACCAATGGAGGGGAAAAAGTATCAAAGACATAACGTAGGAAAACTTCTAGAGATAGAAAGGGTGGGGTAGGAGCTCACTGTTTTCTATAACCAACCCTTTGGTGCTACTTATTTTTAAAAATTTTTTCAGGGGGAGGGGGGAATGACGGAGAATGGTGTAGGAGGTGAATTCAAGTATGATACATTTGATATACTGTAAGAATTTTTATAAATGCCACAATGTACCTCCACCCAGCACAATTAAAAAAAAAAACTTTCAGCAGTGTATTGCTTTAATGAAAACTATTAAATATTTAGTGATGATAAACATTAAATTCTAGGCAATGTAATTTATTTTCATATTCAATATAGGATATCAACAAATTAGTTATAATTATGTGCATCTATAGTTAATAAATTATAGCTATTACTAATTAATTATATGCCTTAAAAGCTGTATCTTAAAAATTGAATGTATTTTCAATGAGTATCTTCAAATAAATAAAATCTATTTCATGTGCTTTTGAAGTTTACATGTTTTACACTAAAATTTCAAAATAAGTAAAGTTAGTGTCATAATCAATGCTGCTTAACTTCTGTTCAGTCTTGTTAAAACTTGTCAAAACTGTATAAGCACTGCATGAAAACATGACTATAGAGAAATCATTTAAACACCAAAAGTACAACCTGCAGGACTAATAAAACGCACAGTTACCTGCTGTGTGATCAGTAACTGCTTGGCTCGTGACGCCGGATGGTGGTTCTTGGAGCTGGTAAGTGGCGCTGCTGGATGGTGTTGTTGGGCTGGCACTGCTGTTTGTCATATAATGAGCTGGATATGGTGAGCTGTTGTAATACTGTGCGTACTGACCCTGGCCAAAACCGGGATAAGATGGATAGTCCTGCCAAATTGAACCATAGAGGAATAATCTGTCAAAACACTGCTGCTTTGCTTGTATTTCGAAGTACATATTCAAATTATAAAGATGTGTTTACATGCCTTTTCTGAATTCATACAGGCATGTTCACATTCACTGAAAAGTTCAGACTTGCAAACAAACTATGTAAGATCACATAAGTTTTTCATGTACCCTCTATTCTATGATGCAGTACTCTTAAAATTAAATCAATCTGAAAACCAAATAAGTCATCATAAAAAGATTGTTACAGAGATTGTTTTAAAAGAAACATTTAAAAAGCTTAGGAAAGCTCTCACTTACAGTTTAATATAAACGGTTCTTTCCGTATGTAATAAATAATGGGCTATATTTAAAAATATTTCAGAAGTGAAATTGGCTTTTTAAATTACCTGCTGTGAACTGTTAAATCCAGAGGAATTTGTGAGTGAATTATTTCCTGTATATAATCCTGATGATGTTGTAAAACTGCTACCTGAAAGAAAATGAAAAGAAATATGGCTTACTAAGCTTTATAGAATAATATGACTGTAGGAAAATATCATTTAGATAAGACAGAGTTGGAGTTCGGTTTATCTTCAACATTGGAATCCATTGTCATGAATGAAATTTTATTTTCTTCAAAATGGCTAGCCACTTTAACTTGACCATATTATGAAGGACTGAAGAGTAAAGAGGTTTGAATTTCTGCATACATAAGAAACATAAACTAAGGACAAAACTACACATTTGTGCAAAACTATTTTCCACAAGTATTCCATTGCAATTTGTAAATCACACCAAGGTTTTTAAGATCTTCACATTAAATATTCCTAAAGTAAAATAAAGGTGATCTTTATGGTTCTTGCTAGCCCAAAAACTATGATGTTACTGCCACAAACTTAGAATGCATTCAAAACCCATTATTAATCTGGTCGTTATACTGACCACGGAGAAAACTCTCATTATTTCATCTCAAAGAGAAATGAACAGCGGCACTTGAAGAACTGCATACCATGAAGATAATAGGGAACATGCTCAGTGTTTTATCACCACACTCTACGGTCAGATGTCTACCTTGGCCAACAGTGAAGAGTAGGCACTGTGCAGCACACAGCTAAGGGCAAATCTCAGTTCCTGCCTTCACATTATTCACGTTATTGTAAAGCTGAGCAAAACAAAGCTACACTAGTTTTGATGATCCTACATTAGCAAAAATGTCTGAAAAGATAAGATCAAGAATTGGCAATTGTGTCAAAAACAATGCATTCTACACCACAAATTGAAGATTTAAACAGGCTCCACCTTTCTGCTGGGCTATGACTTAATGATTGAGATATGCTATGTACCATTTAACCCAGAAATTTTACTGCCAGGAATTTACTCTAAGGAAAAAAAATATGGGTTTATTCAGCGATAGTTAGCAAAGATGTTCTTCAGTGTTGTTTCTAACAGCAAAGCACAGATGGCTGCTCAAGTGCTTAATAACTGCTGTTCAGAAAATGGAACGTCAAGCTATTAACGATGTTTAATGACATGGGAAAATTTTTCATATTCTTTTGTGAAAGTAAAAACTAAAACAACGGAATGTGTTTTTGGTGACCTCATTTTAAAATCTTTTTTAAAAACAAAAAATTTTGAAGAGCACCAAAATTTCATGTTATCGCTAAAGAATTCAGTCTGTGGTCATGTCACAATCATTAAGCCAGTGTACGTTTCTGAGGTTTTTTTGTATGTGTGGTGGTATTGAGGACCTTCACCTTGAGCACTCTGCCAGTCCTTTTTTCTGGTGGATTTTTCCAGATAGGCTCTCACAGAACTATTTGCCCAGGCTGGCTGTGATTCACGATCCTCCTGATCTCTACTCCTGAGTAGCTAGGATTACAGGCATGAGCCACCTGTGCCCAGCTGTTTTTTAAAAATTAAAAACTTCTCACAAATGAGTGGGATACACAATAAATATGTTCGCAAATTAAAGAGAGAATCTTCAATGTGAACTTGTGATTCACAGATGGCTTTAGGCATAACACATGGTAGTTGGTTTATGCCAGCTATTTACTTTCTACTGGACATGGCAGGACTGACTTAAGATCAGAAAACACAAGTAGGAGTTCTGATTCATCACATATAAGCTCTTTGGGCTTTGGACACGTCAGCTAACCACAGTAAGACACAGTTTCCTTACCTGCAAAAAGCCGACTTCACAGGGCTTTTTTTTCAGTGTAAAGCAGGAGAGTTTATTAAGATAGAAAAGAGTAAAGTGGGAGAGTAGAGCCTCCAAAGTTGTGGGCACAGGAGTTCCAAAAGAGGTTCACAGAGTTGTTAAACATCAAATGAGATAATGTTTAGGAAGCACAATTATCACTCTAGCACACAAATGACAGGTGTTATTATTGTTTTTCTGATAAACACTTCTAAAATTCTCTACTGTATTTATTCTTTTCTCTCTTTTTAGTTCTCAAATTAGATAAATATGACTTAATGTCTTTGCATTTCTAAAATTCTTTTCCTACTTATTAGCCAAGCATTATGAACTTTCAAAGCCTGATTCAAGAACTTATTATTTTTATTAAGAAGGGAAAATATTTTCTAAGATAGTTTCAAATTTAGTTACCATACAAATTCATATTTGAGGGTTCTTCATTTATACATTTCAGGAATATCCATTGTTCAAAGTTCCCAGAATACCCATCTCAGATAAGACAGCTCTCACACTATTAACTCCTTACCACAAATAGCAGGGCCTCAATAGTAAGGCTTCCATATTAACACTCATTTGTATGTGGCAATCACATACGTATTAAACATGTATTAAGTATCAAGCTCACAGTGATTATGCAGGAATAAAAGGATAAGTAAGACACAGGCTGGGACCTCACAGGACTTCTCAGGATGATAGCAGTTTTATTTTGTTTTTGAAACATTGGACTTTATGGGCATATGACTCATGCCTTATGTATCTGAATAACAGAGAACAAGTAATTAATGACATTATCTATAAAGAAAATTTATAAATATTGAGCATTTAAAATTTCCTTGTGAAGTAAAATCTGAATTTCTTTTGGACAAGATTGCACTTTTTTTCAACTTTAGTTATTATATACATTTGATGAGAAAAATTACTTTGGGTTATGACCTGTTACTTTCATTTAAACTATACATTTTTAGATTATGACTTGCTACTTTCATTTAAATGACATATTTTTGAGCAATAAATACTGACCTCAATAATCCCTATCCACCAAGAAAATGAATAAGATATAGAAAATATATTTTAAAAATGGATGTTTTCATTCCATAAGTTATTCCCTGGAACGAAGTAGAAAAGACCATGGAAGCTATATTGGCACACACAAGCCACAAGGGTATGACCAAGTAAATCACAGTTCAGTGCTCTAAATGGTACCCAAGTGACTTTCCAGACTTACTGCTACCTCTAAGACTGCATTAGCTGGAATTCAACATAAGCTATACTCATTTACTGGCTGACTGCAGGCTGAGATTCCATTCTATTTAGCATGCTGAAGCAGGAGTTTAATGGCACCCCAGTGGCCTTACAGACTTAATGCAACTTCCAAAAAGATCTCACTTGCTTCAGGGAGAGGTGTGCCTACTAGAGAATCACACATAGGTATATTAATTTCTCACCACCACAAGCAAAGCTTGGAGTGCTGCTCCACTTGCCTTTACTCAGGCAAACAGAGCTGCTTACTTAGCTCAGGTGAGTTGGGCCAGAACCTCCTTTACTGGTTCTTCCCCAACCCCTCTGGTCCTTTCCAGTTCCTTCCATGCATAAGCAGCAGAATCTTTCTCTAATGTGCATGACTGATCTTGTCACTCTCCTACTTGAAAAAGTAACCTTTAGTGGCTCCCTGTTGCCCTCAGGATAAAAGTCAAACTCCTTAGCAGGGCTTATTTATTAGGTCTTAGCTGGTCTGATCCCTATTTATCTTTTGGGTTTGTTTGGTCTTTTCCCAGCAGCGCCCCCCTCCCTTCCCCCTCCCCCACTGCCCTAAATGCACATTCCAGCCAGCATGAGTGAACCTACATGCAGTTCTCCTAATGCTACTCCTCATAGCTCCTACTTCCTCCCTCCCATCAAATCCTGGCCAACTTCTATTGAACTTTGCAATTCAGCATAGACTAGAAATTCTCTTCTCAACCCCCTCTCCCTTGTTCTCCTATTTCCCCCTAAGCCTGGGTCACTCCATCCATCCATCCATCCATCCATCCATCCATCTACCCATCCATCTTTGTGATGTGTGTATCTATCTATCTATCAACCAATTTATCTGTGATGTATAGATGTGCATATATACATATGATTGCGTCCATAATTTAATAATCAGGATTTTAAGCTAATTAATTAACCAGGAAATTAACAAGTATTTATACTTAAAATCATTAGTCCTTCCCTTATTAAAATAGTTTAAGAACAAAATATGTTAGAACTCATATAAATAACTGGATCTTTGTTCCAAACCATAAAACATCCCCAGAATATAAAATAACATTAAACATAGAGCTAGAAGATGTGGTACACACCTGTAATCCGAGCACTGTTGGGGGAGGCAGAGGCAGGAGGGTGGAGAATTTGAGACCATCCTCCAATTTTGAGACCCTGTCTCAAGAAACCAAAAAAAGCTAACTTCCATTGAGTACTTACTACACATTAGGGAGCATCCTTACCTTTTACTTATGCTTGACACTCTACAACTTGATATTACAGGGACTATTACTATTCCCTTTTTGCAAATAAAGAGAGAGGGTGTAGGATAAGGTAACATAACTTCCATGGATAAAAGTGAAATTCAACTATAGACATGTCTGGTTTTAAAGTCTACACAATGCCCTCTGGCCTCATCTTACTTATTGTTGAATAAGTAAGACTTACTGCTAATTAATATACAATAAGTTATTGTATAAACTTATTGTTTTGTGGGAAGTTTGGAAATTCACTGCAGCTTTCCCAGATATCATCTTATGTGATTTAAAAATACGCACGCACGCACACACACGAAGAAAAACAGAAGTGGCGAGAACACAGAAGAAATGATAAAACTTCAAACTTTGGAGTTCTTACAAGGATCCAAGTCCAAATCAAGTATTTTAGCTTCACTACTCACTGATACAGCCACCCAGAAGGTAGCAATGATCACATCCCATTTCACAGCTGCAGTTACGAGCAATTGTGACTGAGCTGAAATTCACTCCCGGCCCACATGGTTCCAGAGCTGAAGTTCCTACTCTCATGATTCATCGCCTTTTGGAGAAGTAAAACTTTTTTCCTTTTTTTCTTTAAACTAACACGTTGAAAATATGGCTAACAATGACTTTTAAGGTAACTGGGTCTCTTCTTAGATACAGGGATCCCAGGCTTGTAGAAGGGCTGGAGTGTGTCCTAAAAATCCACATTTTGGCCAGGCATGGTGCAGCATGCCTGTACTCCCAGCATTCGAGAGGCTGAGGCAGGAGGATGGAGAGTTCAAGGCCAGC